GGAAGGCGCCATTGCGACCGGCTTGTCACGCAATCATCAGCCGAGGCGACAAGTGAGCGAGAGAAGGCAGTCACTTCCCCGGCGGAGCATGGCGTTCGGCCTGGTGTGGGACCTGGCGTGGGGGCAGCCGGGGTGTGCGCCCCACCACCACCACCACCCGAGGTGACTGGAGCGCGGACCATGGCGGTTGCGGTCAGGCTGCTCGTGGGCGTCCTGTCCCGCCCCCGCGCGGTTGCTGGGGCTCGACAGATGGGCGCCACCGGCAAACGACCTGTTGGAGGTAAAGTCGTCCAGGGCGCCGCCGCCGCCCATGGCTGGCGAAGGAAGGCCAAAAGCGGCAAAGTCGGGCGAGTTCATCATGACCACGCCCCCGTCGGGTGTCGTGGGGTGGGTGCCCGAGCCAGAGCCGTCCTTGGTCTTGGTGCCAAAGCGGAAGACGAGGCGGGCTTGGTCTTGCTTGATGCCGAGCACGGAGCGGGCGGCGTCGTCAATCTCGGCAATGTGGCGGTGGAAGCGCAGGCCGGCGAGATCGTTGACGGAGAGGCGCTCGACCGCCTCCTGGAAATCGGCCACCTGGACGGCAAAGCAGAGGAAGAGCTCGAGGGCCAGCGGGGCGGATGACGTCAGACGGGGCGACACAATGCTGCCCGACTTGGATCCAGCGAGACGGACGAGCAGGGAGCAGAGCGGAATGGCGATGGGCTTTCCCGGCAGCGAGACGACCTTGTCGCGCACGCAGGCGTCAAAGAACTTGCCGAGATGGACGATGGCGCTGTCACTACTTGCGGCAATGTCCGAGTTCGGGGTGAGGTGGCGGGGCAGACTTGCTGCTGCTGCTGCAGGCGATGACGTCAAAGTCGAAGCAGTCGAAGCAGAAGCTGCTGCGTTGTTGTTGGCGCGGCGCGATTCAAAAAGCTGGACTGCCTCGGCGAGCGTCGTGGGACCGCCCGCGGGGACATCGCGGTGGTCTTCGTCCTGCAGCAAGGGGATGGCCTCGCGCAGGTAGTTCTCGGCGCGGCGCTTGCGGGCGGTCTGGCGCGAGATCAACGCGCGCTCGTCATCGTCATCGGTGGCGCGGGGGCGTGGGTGACCTCCAGCAGCAGCAGCAGCAGTCGAGCCAGAGGCAGCGGTGAGGCGGGCAAAACGCGTGCTATTCGCATCGGTGTCAGGTTTATTTGAGCGCGGACTACGCGAGCTCATCGAGGTGGGGGGTTGGGGGTTGGGGTGAAGGGCGACGAAGGGCCAAAGAAGAAAAGAAGAGTGAAGAAGAAGACTTGCCATTTTTAAAATCGTTTATGTTTTACAATCGTTTTTGTAATGCTTTGCTCTGGCTGTCTCGTGTTGCGCTTTGCTTGGGGGGTTTGACTAGCTGCATGGGTTGCTCGTGGAATTGCATCCGTCGTGAGGGGGGGTAGGAAGGAGAGAGCGGAGAGGGGGCTCGTTGAAGAAATCGAATGACGAAGTGGCAAAAAAGCAATGACGCTCATGCGCTTTTCGTGATGTAACGGAATGAACATGAAAAAGAAGCGCGTGATTGAAAATTTCGGGTGCCACGCACAATTAAGTAAATAAACACGAGTTGTAAATGTATTTTAAAAAAAAGGAAAAAAAAAAGGAAAAAGAAGGTGGGGGGAAAACAGCGAAGTGGATCACGATCATGGATGACTGGATGGATGAATGAATGGATGGATTGTCGCTCAGCTGTTCCGACTGGCATCCTCAACTCTGCGAAACTCTATGCTTCAAAGGTCACTCTCCGACATGCTCGGAGCTGCTTCTGCGGTTTCCACGCGTTTGTTGCCATTTTGACACGGTGGCGTCGGTCGTCTTGATCTCTCTTCAGTCGTTTTACAATCTCCCGCCAAAGATACGAAAGAATTGCACCTACTCTTCTTTTGAGGAGATTGGCGACCAACAAGGACTTGACCATGGTCATTTCTGGCTGCTCCGGCTTGACTCGTGCTGTACGACGATTGACGTAGGTGTTTTACATTTGGCGTGGCGCATGCGTTCCCGGCCAGCGATGAATCTCAGTCTCTCTACTTGCCAAGTCTCTCTGACCGCATTCATTTTGGTGTGTTGGGATCTGCTCAAGGGCGTGGACTTTACGAAGACGGCAAAGCCAAGCAATGGCTGTTGTTGACCTGGCAGAGGCAACGTTCAACGCGCGCCTGGTCGACCTCGCCACGTTCGATGGAGCAGGTCATCTCAATGTGCGCAACAAAGGCTCCAGAGTTGTGTGGCAGCTGCGCTTTCCCGTCGGTGACTGTACATGTATGGAGCTGGTCAACCAGACAACGTTTGAGGCGGTGAAAATGTCCAAGAAAACCGAGACCAAGCATTCGCTCGAGTTTGACGGTCGACAGCTGGATGGCCGCTACTTGTTTGTCACCATTCAAGAGCTACCCGAAAATCGCGCATATTTCGCGGCCGTTCGTGTGCTCGACACGAGCATCTGGCCGTTGACGGTTCGCCAGTACGCTGTCGCGCGAAAGTGTCACGGTACCACCTTGCAGGGCCGACACTGCTTGCGGACGGGCTCTTTCTTTGACTACTGCCACAATCACATTGGACAAGCGCGACGACCGACTCCAGAAGCGCCACTGCGCGAGACGCGTCAGTACAAGTCTCTCGTGAACTTTGCCCGGACCGAGGCGCTTGACATTTCCCAGTTGCTGGAGCGACTGGAGCGACTCGGCGTGAGCAGTGGAGAAAGCGCAGCTGCTGAGAACCTTGCCAACGGCAGTCTCAACTGCAGTTCAGCGAAAGCGCAGTCAGCTTGAGCTGTTTTGTTGGTCCAGCTCGGTGGCAACCTGGAGCAGCGGCGGCATTGAGCTCTCGTTCACTCCGTTCGAGGTCGAGACACTCTTGCTGGTCGTGCGTGGATGATGTTGGTTGTGGCATGAACCCCCGCGAACCCCTACTCAGATAAATCTCCATATCTATGTCTTTGTCTCGTAAAAATGCAGCAGCGTTCAAAATCGACTCGTCGTAAAAATGCAGCGTTCCACCCCTTCAAATTCGACTCGTCAGTCCCTAACTCTCACGCAGGGCTCGGTCACTGTTTCAACACTCTGTGACATGTGTCTGAGCCAAAAGTCGTGTGACAAAAAACGCGAGAATCGCCGATCTTGCGCTCTTCGCCAATTCAAGAGTTTGTCTCCGGGACTCGAAAGCGAGGCGGCTCCCATGCGTTTGATAGCACCACGTTAGACTTGCATTTACAGTACCAGACATGACTCAATTCCCTATTGTAGGAGTTGACATTCAAAAGCTCACTCTTTGATCTCTCAAAGCAAAACAACCATGACCAAGTACAGCTCTACAATCCGACACTCTCTCCCGTCAACCACCCTTCCCTTTCCCCCCCCCCCATATATGAAAACACTCCCTGATGATCTGTGCAATGCGAGCAACAAGATGCATCCCCCTTCTCCCCCCCCCCCTAATGCACTGTGCCACGGTCACGTTCGCATTGCCTCATGCGTTTTTGCTCACTCACTCCAACGTTTCTCCCCCCCCCCGCCGCCGCCTTGACTCCTCTCCGCAATGCATCACCCACACTAGGAAAATCCTGCTGTTTGGTGCTGGCTACGTGGCCCCGCCGTTCGTCGAGTACATGCTCCGCCGCCCAGAGAACTTTGTGACGATCGGTAAGCAAAGCACTCACTCTCCCTCCTTCCTCAATGCACTCTCTCTATCTCTATCTCTCCGCATGCGTTTTTTTGGTTCCAAGTGGAATCCGTCTCGCCGCACGGCTTTGATGTGTGCTGATGGATGGCAATTGACGAGGCATGTCACTGCTGCTTGCTGCTGCTTGCTGCTGCTGCTCGCCTTCACACTGAGTCCCTCGCTCCCTCACTTGTCCGCTCAGTGGCCGGGATCTCGCTCTTTTGCCGCTCGCCCCCGCTGTCCCCAGCATCCAATCACCCCCCCCCCCGCCCCGTCGCAGTGACGCTGTGCACGAGCATCCTCTGCTCTTGGGGTCTCTCTTCGGAGAAGGGGGTCGCCGTTTTCAACATTGGTCGCTGTGTCCGATCATCCAATCTCTCCGCCCTTTTTGCGTTTTCTTTGCCTTGACTCCAAAACACTTCCACCTCACAAAACAAAAACACAAAAAACTCATCAACTCACTGGGATTTTTTTATAATGTCATTTTGATTCGAAACAGCTGCACGCACTCTGACCTCGGCGCAGAAGCTCTCGGCCAAGTTCCCGGAAGGCAAGACTGCTCCTCTTCAGCTCGCCGTCACCGATGAAGCTGCTGTCGATGCTGCTGTCGCTGCCCACGACATTGTGATCAGGTAAACTGCAATCGCAGCTGCTCCGAGTCGATGACTGAGAATGAAAAGTTTTCGACACCACTAAACTCATCCAACTCCTCCCCCATCAGCTTGATCCCCTACACCTTCCATGCGCTCATCATCAAGTCCGCCGTCAAGAACAAGAAGGACTTTGTCTCGACGAGCTACATCTCGCCCGCCATGCTCGAGCATGACGAGGCTGCCAAGGCTGCTGGCGTCACTGTCATGAACGAAATTGGCGTCGACCCCGGTGTGGACCACGTCTACGCCATGAAGACCATCGACGAGGTTCATGCCAAGGGCGGCAAGGTGCTTTCCTTCCTCTCGTACTGTGGCGGTCTTCCAGCGCCCGAGAGCTCCAACAACCCTCTTGGCTACAAGTTCAGCTGGTCTCCTCGCGGTGTCCTGCTCGCTGCCCGCAACGCCGCCAAGTTCAAGGAGAATGGCGAGGTGAGGCATGCTGGTGTTTGAGAAGGGGCGGGAGGCGGGGGGGGTTGGATTTGTTTGTTTGTTTCGACGAGGTTTTGGTTGGCTTGCCAGATTCTAACTTGTCACCATGTCCCTTGTCCCATTTTTCATCCGACGCAACAACGCAGATTGTCTCTATCCCCGGTCCCGAGCTGTTGCGCAAGGGCCCCAAGCCAATTTTCATCTACCCCGCATTCGCATTCGAGGGCTACCCCAACCGCGACTCGGCGCCTTACGAGCAGCGTTACAACATTCCCGAGGCCCACACTATTCTGCGTGGAACTCTCCGCTACCAAGGCAACCCGCGCTTTGTGCTGACCTTTGCCGACATCGGTTTGCTGAGCGACGAGCCGCAAGCACATCTGGCTGCCGATGCACCCGCTCAGTCGTGGCTTGATATCTTGGGCAAGCTTTTGGGTGTTGCTGCTTCCTCAGAGTGAGTCGTTTTGCGTGTGTTTTTGCACGTTTTGGAGGAGGGCAGGGAGGGTTTGATGGTTTTACGCCACGAATTCTCACAAGTTTGCTTGCATCTGTGGAATGTGTTCAAACTTCCAGGGTGATCCAAGAGGCCATCGCCACCAAAGCCCAACTCACTGGCGATGAAAAGAAGCGTGTCATCCACGGTTTCAAGTGGTATGGAGTCATGTGGTTTTTTTGTTTTGTTCAAAACTGCTGCACTTGTGGGACTTTTCCTGGCCTCTGCAATCCTGACCTTCCTCCACTAATTTCACTGTTGCCCTCTTTCGGTCTGTAGGCTTGGCATGCTTTCGGCCGACCCTGCCGACAAGCGCGGCACCCTTCTCGACACCTTGTCCGCGACGCTGGAAAAGAAAATGTCGTTCGGCCCTGGCGAGCGCGACATGATCATGCTTCAGCACAAGTTCGAAATCGAGTGGGCTGACGGTCGCAAGGTGGGTACATCATTAGGGAGAAACTTGTTTTGACCAAAACAACACTGATGTATTCTGAAAAATGAATGAATATTCGCAGGAGACCCGCACGGCCACCCTTCTTGAGTACGGTCAGCCTGACGGCATCACTGCTATGGCTCGCACTGTTGGTGTTCCTTGCGGCATTGCCACGCAGCTCATTTTGGATGGTACGCAAACAAGTTCAACGTGTTTGCTGTTTTGTTTCAATTTTTGGTTGGCTTTCAATGTTCGAATGGCTCTATGGCACACCTCTTTTGTCTCACGGACAATCCGTTTTTCTGTTGCTCTGTTCTTATCTGGTTGCAGGCGTTATCAACCGCAAGGGTGTTATTGCGCCCATGACTCCTGACGTCTACCTGCCCCTGCTCAAGGAGCTCGAGGCCGAGCATATCACATGCATCGAGGAGTCTGTTTAAGCTAACAAAGTCTCTTCTTCTCTTCTCTGTTGCGAGTTGTGATTTGCGAGTGTGTCAAGTTTTGATGAATACACTGTCAAATTTTAAACGGTTCATCTCGTTGTAGCGATCGTCTCCTCCTTTGATCCGTTGTTCTATAATTCTCAGCTCCAATTTCACTTGAGCTGATCAGTCCTGTTCATACCATTCGTCTCTCGACGACTTCGACGATCAATGAGCAGTAGCACGACGGGCGCTCAGCCAGCACAACGGTCGCGCATCGGGCTTCTCCTGAGCGCCGCGTTCGGCTTCAGCACATACATTGTGACCGTTGCTGTGATTCTCCACACTGTCGCCTTCCTGCACGCTGGTCCGCCTGCGCCTGGTGGCTCTGCGGCTGGTTCCAATTCGAACGCTCGGTTTCCCGCGCTCGTCGGTAACCCTTCCACCATTGCCCCCCCCACGTCACCGCGTTCCCTCACTCATCCACTCGTGCCATTCGTTGGTGATTGATTCCTCAATTGCCAACCGTGTTGAAGTGTTGAAGGGGGGAAAGCGTCGGTCAACCTATCTTCTCAAATTTCTCAATCTCCTTCCATGCACACATCGACGCATACATTCACAACGTATCAATCAGTTCGTGCTCTCACTGTTTTTTGGTTCTTATTTTCTTGGTTTGTTGGCAGTCGATTGCGGATTGTTAATCCTGTTCGCCGTCCAGCACTCGGCGATGGCAACCCAGTGGTTCAAGACTCGGGTTTTGGCTCGGATCTGCCCGAACATTGTCGAGCGATCCGTCTATGTGCTTGCCAGCTCTGTGTGCTTGGAGGTAAGTGCTTCTGTTGTTCTGCCGCAGGGTAAATCCAAAGCGTATGGCCGTCCTAATTTCGCTGTGTCATTTTCTCAGGTTGTCCTTCTCAATTGGCGCTTTGGGTCGATGGTGTGGGATGTGTCGCCGCACTTGCGCTTGCCTCTGGATCTGGCGCACATTCTGGGCTGGATTCTCATCTTTTCGGCGGCCGTGCAGGTCGACTACCTTGAGTTGTTGGGACTGCTTCAAGTATGTCCCAAAAAAAAAACATCCTGTCACCGCTCGAGACGCCCTTGTTTGCAACTTGCCGACTGACGACTGACGATTCACCCCTTGTTTGCTCTCTTTTTTTCCACGCATGGCAGATCCGATACGCCTTCATCAACCGTGATGCACCGATCGTCTACCGTTCGCAACGCGTTCAGGCTCTCTATCGACACATGCGGCATCCAATGCTCATTGGAGCTTTGCTGGTCCTTCTGTCGACGCCAGTCATGACCACTGATCGTCTTCTGCTGGTGGTTGGCTTTGCCGCCTACGAGATGGCGGCAAGCCGCCTCGATCACCGCGACGTAGAGTATGTGCGCCAGCAACTGCTCAAGCAAAAGCGAAAACTTCTTGATGAAGCACAAGAGGAACAATAATAAATACAGCCAGCAGCCAGGATTGCAAAAGGCTTTTGCTGTGAGAACAAAATATCAAACATGTGCCAACACAATCTCAGGCCAGAGTCATGCGTACACCCCGTAGTTCTAGATAGCCGTGTGCGATATGCGATGGAAGCGATCGCGCATACTCAAACTCGGGGATGGTGGCATAACGCAGCTTTGTCCGCGGGTCCATGTAGGGAGCAGGCAAGCTTGACACGTCGGCGTACTTTTTCGCGGGAAGCATCGATGGCGGAGCTTCAATGCTGGAATATGTGGGCACATCGTGGCCCCAGGGAAGGCTTCGCTCTGCTGCGATGACTTGTTTCAGACTCTTCCAGGTTCGCTGATTGTTGCGGTTTGGCGGGTAAATATCCTGGAACGAATTATGCCGTGGAATGAGCAACAAACCATTCTCGGTGCCCAGACAACAAAATACACGGCCGCTGGTATGACCTACAGAGAAAGATTGGGTTTTGAAGCTTGGTGGAGGCGGAGCGGCTGGCAGCGGGAGCGCAGCAGCAGCCACACGACGAGGAGGCATGTTCTTGGGAGGTCGTCCCTAGTTTCACCCACCATCACCAAAAACATTCGACATTTCACAGGATGAGTGAGATTGGGGCCAACACAAACTGAACGGCGCACGCAGGACGGCGCTTGTACCTTCCGAGGCACCTTGCGGCCTGTCGTCTCGGTCTTTTCACTGACTTTCTGCTCCTCTTCATTCACGAGTATGTCGCTGGGAATATTTGAATCAGCGTTGGCATCGCTGCCGACTTCGCTGTCGCTAAGTTCCACACGACGTCGTTTGGTGCGATCTTTTGAGGATGAGATAAGTTCTTGTGCTGCTGCAGGTCGCTTGGCCCCCGTTGTTGTAGCTGCTGGGAGCTCCGTCAAAGTCTTGGGTTGCTTGGGTTGAACTGCAGCTGAGTTGTCGCTATCCTCGTGCGCTGACAGGTCATCTTCATGGTAGTTTGTCTCGGCCCGCTGTCGCGACGATCTTCGCACCCATTGCTGTCGGCTGTTACTCTGTTGAGCAGGTGCACGTCCGCGTCTTTGTCGTGGCAAACTGTCGTCGGATTCGGCTTCCGACTCTTCTTCATCGTCCTCGTCCTCTTCGCTGTCCTCGTCCTCGTCACTATCGTCCTCGTCGTCGTCGTCTTCATCTTCTTCCTCTTCGTCGCTGCCGTGCCTACGTCGTGCACCTCGCGTCGAATTCGCCCTCCGGTTCTGGCTGGTTGCAGCTCGAAGCTTGCTTGGTTTCGCTTTCGCAGCGGATCGCCCCGGTTTTCTTGCATTCTTCTTGGCAGATCTTGCTCCTCCATGCTTCTTCTTGTCGGTATCATGAGTAGTTCGCTTTGGTGGCCTTCCTCGTCCTCGTTTCGCAGGAGGTCGAGCAACTTCCTCGTCGTCCTCGCTCTCGTCCTCGCTCTCGTCCTCGTCCTCGTCTTCATCTTGATCATCACTGTCGTCGTCACCTTCGCTTGCATCATCGTCGTCGTCGTCCTCATCATCATCATTGAGTTGGCGCTTGTTCGCTCTTGGGCTCAATCCAGCCGCCGCTGCTGCAGCTCGACGCTGTGGCACCGCTGCCACTGCCACTGCCACTGGCGCTGGTTCATGGTGCGTTTCTCTGCTTCGTGCTGCGTGTGCTCGCACGGTGGCAGTTTGGCGTGCAGCAGCGACAGGTCGACCGTGATGCTGGTCATCGCTCTCAGACTCTGAGGACGATGAAGACACGGCGCGCCTCACCACAGACGCTGGTGCAGCTGCAGTTTGGTGGCGCAGACGAGCCATCGTGTGTTACTGAAAGCAAAGTTTCAAAGGGCAGTGAACAAAACGATCGAGCTGAAGACTCTGAAAACAAAAAAGGAGAGAGAGAATGAGAACTGAGAGCTGAAATCAACAACATTTCTGAGAAATCAAGTCAAGCCGCCAACGAATCAACATAAAAGCATGAAGTGCCCATCTTTGTGGGTGGATGACACTCGCAACGCTTGACAAAACTGCAGATTTACCGCCATCGTGAATGTCGAGTACAGATCTGAAAAATTGCGGAGGCGAAAATGGGTCGTTCTGGCGTTGAGTCTAGAGACAGATTGGCATATCCATTTGAAGCTTGTTATGTTGGGAAGGGACAGTCTTAGTTTCGTTGTGCTGATTCAGCGCTCCAATGGTGTCTTATGAGAATATGACTGAGCGTCAACGCTTTTGGTTTGACTTTGCCCAGGAAGGTGGTAAAGTGCTCTTGTAAGATACAGTATCTCCAAGCTTATTGCACAGTGTGTCAGCTATGTGTGTGTGTGTGTGTTCTGACAAAGAGGAAGGACAGTGTGAAAGACAGTGACTTAGACGAGGCTGGAGCACAGGCGGTTGCTGAGGTACTCAAACTGAACCAGACAAAAGCGCCTTGGGTCTCGTAAGGCATCTCACCTTGACTGATGCATGTGGCATTCAGAAAGCTCACTGATGGAGAGGGAATGGACAGTCTGGAGTGTAATCACATTGGCGATGCCATAGCGCAGACGCTGGCTGAGGGACTCAAAGTGAACACGTCGCTGCCTCAGTTCTAGTACGTCACCTCACTTCTGCTGATGTTTGTGAGTGAGAAATCCAGCAAAAAGCATTCAGAAAGCTCACTGATGGAGGGGATAACCAGCTTGAGCCACAATGAGATTGGCAATGCTGGAGCACAGGCGATTGCAGAAGCTCTCAAAGTCAACACGACATTGGATTTTCTCGGGTATGTCATCTCACTTTGATTGGTGCATGTGAGTGGATGATGCAGCGGATGCCATTCAGAGTGACTCACTGATGGAGGGGACGGATAGTTTGGACTCGAATCAGATTGACGACTTAGGAGCATTTTTCATTGCTGAAGCACTCAAAGTAAACAAGACGCTGACTTACCTTCGGTAAACATTGAACACTTCAAGATGTGCTGAGGTCGTTTAATTCTTGCTTCACTCTGACAAGATTCCTGACGACAACAGTTTGGACAACAACCTCCTGACCAACGTTGGAATCAAAATACTCAATCAAACAGGCAATTCCATTTGTAAACTAGTGTAAGATTCTGCCGTTTTATGGGATTCTTGCATTAAGTTCAATCCGAACAACAACCCATTCACTTGCTTGAGCGAAATTGGCGTTTCTTGGATGGCAGGGGTCTTGACAACCAACGTGTTCCGTCGCTTGCCGAACTGAATCAGATTGTAGCTCGTGCTGCAGCAGGCGTTATACATATCGCCGATATTCAGCAATTGCGTTACGATCACGCTGCCAAAGCTCAGCAATGGCGCTCGGAGCTCTCTGTGAAAGATCAGGAGCTGCAACAGCTTCGCTCCGAGCTTGTGACCAGGAATCATGAACTAAAATCAGCTCATGAGCGGATTGACGCGCTTGAGCGCAACCATCCGAACTCTGGCCACCCCATCCCTCAGATTCCGTTGTCAACTCTCGTCACCGCCACCAACAGTTTTGCTGACTCTCTGCTCGGCGAAGGAGCATTTGGTCGCGTGTACGCCGCCAGTCTGGATGGATCACGCGTCGCCATCAAGAAGCTGTCCGCCGAAACGATCGAAAGCTATGCCACTTTTCTAGCAGAACTATCTGCTCTCGCTCGATTCCGTCACCGAAATATCATTACCATTCTATTCTATGCCGAAGCGCACGGTGAATATTGCTTGGTGTACGAGTTTATGCAAAACGGTTCTGTGCGCGACCGCTTGGATTGCAAGAAGGACACCCCTCCGCTGACTTGGTCTCAGCGCCATCGCATTGCCGTGGATGTCTCGCGTGGCATGAACTACGTCCAGACAGTCTTCGCACCTGATCATGTTTTGTTCCATCTTGATCTCAAGACGGACAATGTGCTTTTGGGCGAGTTCTTCAATGCAAAGGTGTCTGATTTTGGGCTTGTTCGTGTTGCCCAACGCCTTGATGAGAAAAGCTACCTTCGCACCCAGAACCTTCAAGGTACAACGGCTTACGTGTGTCCCGACTTCCGCGAAGGTCGCATGACCATTAAGACAGACGTGTATGCATTCGGCATGATTCTGCTGGAATTGTTGACTGCAATGAAACCAAGCAACCGCCTGAAAGCAGAGACGCGGAAAGCTGTCAAAAACAAGAACATTTATGACATGCTGGACGCGGCGCTCGCTTCAACCCAAGAGCGCCAAAGCGCCAGCAAGATGGTCACTCTTGCCCTCGAGTGTCTTGACGACGACACTGACGATCGCCCAACGTTTGGACACCTCCTTGCCACATTGGATCGTTTTTGACATGCCGAAGATGTTGTATTGGTGTTTCAGAACTGTATCAGGGTTCAGCATGTCGATATCTTTTGAATGAGGATGAGTCTATTCTCTCCCGCTCGACAAGATGTTCCTGCAGATGTTGTAACATTTGCTTCCTGGATTGTTCGTTTCGCAATTGGTTCTTGCTCTCATCACTGTTCTCTTTTGTTGTTGTTGCTGTTGTTGCTGTTGTTTTGTTGTTGTTTGGTTGTTCGTTCATTTCCCTCATTTCCACTTTGTTATCCATTTCATTCATTGATCCTTCGCTCAGTCCCTTTCTTTGACAGTGTTTCATTTTCAGATTTTCAGTCAGCATGAGCATTGACGCTCAGCTTGAGGCTGTTGGAGTGCTGGACTGCGCGCGCATTCGCCAGTCGCTGAGTCTCCCAGACACCTCCCCAGGTAACCCCACACACACACACACACACCTTTTTGTTCATCCATTCTGGTTACCTTATCATGATCGCCTGTTCACCGCGCTTTGTCGGTCGGTCGTCCAAACGCTCGTTTTCCTACTCTGCTGCAATCTTTGCTGCCAATACGAGGCGTAACTCTCAACCGAGAGAGAGAGAGAGAAGTGCTCCTTGTTTCATCCATCCAAACTCATCTTACTAACATGAGCTTGTTTGACGCTCTGTCTGTTTGATATTTGCTGCAGATGCGTGGATGCAGCTGGTCAGGATGTCTCTGTCGCCGTTCGGTGACGTACTCGTTGCTGCGACCAAGCGGCGGTTTATCGTCCTGCGACCACAACCCAGTCACAGCGGAGCTACTGCTGAGCCGCCATCATCATCATCATCATCATCATCACCAGCCAACGCTGGAGCTGGAGCTGGAGCTGGAGCCGGAGCCCACGCTGGCGCAATGCGCTTTGCTGTCGTCGCGTCGGGCAGCGAGTGCGCTGGGCTGGACGACTTTATCACGGCCGTCCTCGTCCTGCCAATGTCAGTGCCTCTGGCAAGCAGTCACAGTGGACATACACAACAGCACTATGGAGCAGACCAGCGCGTTCGAGACACCGTGGTCGTCGTTGGCTACTCGTCAGGTTACGTTCGCTTCTTCACCGATCGGGGCGAGCTCGTCATGTCCCAGCTGCTGCATAGTGCGCCAGTCGTGCAGATCAAGCTGCGAACAACCTACCGCAGGCGCGAAATGAACGATGACCTCACGGTGCTGTTTCCTGGCACGGCCGTTAGCATTGACGGTTTCAGCCTGCTGCAGAGTTTGCTCGCGTGCATTGGGCAACTCTCGGCTGGTGCGAACAGTGCTGCTGCACAAGTGGCGTCTACCTTACCTGCAGGAAGCGCGGCAATTGCATACAAGAAGTGGAACTTTAACCAGCAAGAAGAGACGTGCGATCTTGTGAGTTGTGCGTTGGAAGCGCCAAACGCCTACGACCACCTGATGAGCATGAGCGTCGGCGCCATGCATCCCGTGCACCGCTACATTACTGTCGGCAAGCTCCCAATGATTGGTCTCTACTCTACCACCGAAGGGCAGCGGCCGTTCTTCTCGGCTGTGGCACTCGCGTCCTCCGTGGCCAGCACGCTGACTTCGGCAGTCTTTTCGTTTGCAAAGAATTGGTGGGGTGGCGGCTCCACCCAGCAGCAGCAGCAGCAGCAGCACCACCAACAGCAACAGCAACAACAACAGCCGCCCGTCATTGAACAAGGAAGCCTTCTTCCGCTGCGCTCTTCCATTTCCGACCCTCGACGAAGAATTGCTAGCATCCAACTTGACCCGTCAGGGACACTTGCAGTGACCACGGATGGATTTGGTCGCGTCATGCTGTTGGATGTCGCAGACGCCACTATCGTGCGCATGTGGAAGGGGTATCGCGACGCCCAATGCGGCTGGATTGAAGTCGACGAATTCATTGCCGACGAAGAGCTAGTGCACGGTCAACAACAGCGTGCGGCATGCCGTGCCTCGTTCTTGTGCATCTACGCGCCGCGCCGTGGATTGCTGGAGGTCTGGGCCATGCGATACGGACCTCGTGTCAAGGCGTTCAACGTCGGCCCTCACGGCACACTGCTTTCCGCCGGATACCAAACTCTGGGTGCACCGCTTGGTGTCTCTGTCTCGTCTGACGAGGCTGCAGGCAGTGGTGGTGCTGCTCCCTCCGCTGCTTCTGCCCTTGATCGACTGCTTGTGCGGCAGCAGCAAGACGGAGGGGTATTGGCCTCAATGGCGTCCTCGCCTTCGCTGGTCGCATGCTCGTCGCGAAGCGTGTTTGTGGCAGCAGATGGCACCGTGTTTGATATTGTCGTTCCATTCCATTGCGCTGCTGATGGCCAGGATACACGGCGACGCGATCAGCAGATTTTGCGACAACTCATGCGCCAAGTCTCGCTTGCCGAATCCAGCAACCCAGCCGCCTCTTTGCAACAAGTAGCAGATGTAAACGACGAGTACATTGCGGCGGATGGGTCGGTGTTTTGCCCACTCCCGGCCGAGGCGGCCATTTTGGACCTCATCAAGTCGCTGCACGGCGCAGAGTCGTTGCAAGAGGCTCTCACCTTCTTGGTTCAACCCTTCCTTCGCGTGTCCTTCCTCGTTGCAGCCACAGAGTTGGTTTTGTCAATGATCACCACCTTATTTCACAGGCAAGATGAGACGCACGGCTCCCCGGCGTCTGGAAAGCTTGCCGGAGGCCAACCAGGTGCTCAACCTCCGTCCCCATCAGGTGGCTCGGTGTCGTTCAGCCCTGAGCAGTTTGCGGTTGTGTCCCAGCAAGTGCTGTCGCGGTTATCGCTGTTGCGCTCGTATCAAGTCCTCGTGCAGCTTGCTGGCGCTGTCCCGGCAAACACAACTCGATCTGCACCCGACAAGCAGCACTTGTTGGAAGCCATCGCCGTCCTCGAACTCTCTCCCGCTCATGCTGAGCACTTTGTCGATATGCTTGCCTTTGCCGTTGCCGTCGAACACGAGCAGCACGGAAGTGTCACCGACGTCGCCATCCCCGACCTGCTAGCCCCGTCCGAGTACCTCGCTTGCTTCAAGACGCTGCCTCCGACCACAGGCGTGCAAACTGGGTCGGCCGACCTGTTAGCCGCTGTGCAACCCGACTTGTCTGACACGCTTCGGCTTCGGCTGGCCACAACCCTGTTCCATCACTTGCTCCTCGGGCAATGGTCTGCGAGTAATCTACGCGCTGTGCTTGGAGCAGTGCCAGTCGCGCCAATCGAACTTCTCGCGCTGTTTCTCGCGTTTGTGCTACATTGCGTGCCGCGGGTAGAGCGCATTGCCAGACACCCGACTGTCGAGCGCCTGCATACGGTCGTTGGAGCCCTGCTGGCGACTGCCTCCTCATCTGCCGCGTCCACGGCTGCCACATCTCACGCAAAGAGCAACCCTCTGCTGTCGCAATCTCAGTTGTGGTGGCGAGGACTCTTTAACACGCTAGAGCGCTCGCCGAATCTGGCCAATGCGCTGATTATTGCACACATTGCTCGGAGCCTCATCCAAGACATTTCCGGTGTGGCATCTGATGTGCCTTCGTCGCCTTTGTCCGCTCCTGCGAATGGCCAGACAACCTCGCCGCCGGAATTGACGTTGCACGCATGGTCGCAGCTCTGTGCTCGTCTTGAAGATGCGGTGCTGCTTCGAGCAGGGGTGAGCCCGGCTGTCGTGCAAGCTTTTTGCGGGGCTTCTGCCTTGTCCGTGTTCTATCTTCGCGACAATGGGAGTGTGGTCGAGTTGCTGGCCCTGCAGTGCGTTGCCCTCGGGCTGGACGTGGACGAGCTGGTTGACTTGTTCCAGCGAGGCCACGTTGCTACTGGCGCTGCTGCTGCCAGTTCAGCCTCTTCGACTGCTGAGCCGTCCGCCTCGGCGGTGCAGCTGACATTGCGGCCAGAGGACGGACTGGCACGCTCTTTGTTGAGGCGGATGCTGGAACACTTTGGCGCCAGCATTCTGCCTGCCGAGCTGCTTGCACATATTGGCTGGATGCTCGTGCAGCAGTGGACACGCGAAGGTCAAGACCAGATTGACCGTCTTGAACGTGCCTTGCAGTGTTTCACAGCAATCACTTCGCCACGAGTCGTCGCCCTGCAGGCGTCCTTCTCGCAATCGACTCACGCAGCGGCACAACAGCAGTGCTGCAAGCTCGCATCGTCCATGTTGCAGCTCGTTTGGGACGCCTCGTTGTCAAAGGTGTTTGGCGCGTTGGTTGCCTTGATGGACAAGGTGGGCAAGTGTCCCAAGGAACGCCTGCTGCAAAAGGCGTTGGATATGAGCTCCAACAGCACCATCTGTTTTGTGCGCTGCTGCCGCACGGTTTCGCTGCTCTTGATTGAGCGCCTTGCTGATGAAGGCATCAAGCCGAGTGCCGCTGTGGTCCAAGTGACTGGACAGTTCCAGATGGATTACCACACGGGTGCTGTTTCGCTCAGCCCGCTCGCAGCGTCGGCGACGAATCAGAAAAGCGCGACGACGGATCTCGGCAAGCCACCAGCGGCGGCTGCAGTCTCACCGGCCGTTGGCCCTATGACTGTATCGGGAATGCTGCCGACTTTGGGGGCCACGCGACTGAGGCCCGAGTGGCAACTCACAAAAGCAGACCGGACTTGCATTGTCGCTCGAGCGCTCAATCTCGGAAGTACAGTGGCGCGGTCTCCTGCTGGAATGAACTTGCTGGCGATGCACATTCTGCTGCTAGACTCTGCTCTTTGCGTTCTGGAGGCGGATATGCGGATGGTTTCGCCGTTGCGCTTGCTGACGGAAGAATCGCGGCGAGCCTTGCTCCGCGCACTCTCTGCCAAGCTTGCCACTGCCGATGATCTGGCCGTGTTTTCGCTCCAGTCTGTCACTGCCGTCGACCGCTCGCGTGATGCAGATGTGTTTCAGTCGCGCCAGGTATTTATCGCGCAGGCATTGAAGCGTGCCGCTCGGCCCGACCTGGTGTCGCTCGTCATGACATTGCCCAGTCGCTTTGGCATGGACCCCGACGAGTTCCAGCGCCAGCGCGTTTGTGACATGTATCGACAGGGTCTGGATGGCTCTGGCGAAGAGGCAGCTCGACAGGTTGTGCACAAGGCAAAGTTGGGCACCGCGCTTCTTGGGATTGCCGCGTCGCGCACTGTCCGATTCCTCACGATGGGGACTCCAGCTCAGAATATGGCGCGAGTGTCGTGTTTCCCTCACGAGGTGCACAGCTGGGTTTGCTCGGTGAATGATGCCGATAGTCGCGAAGGCACGGACGACGGGCTGGATGCTGTGTTGGCGGATGATTCGGCGCTGCCCAAATTGCGAGCACTCGTGTCACTGTGTGTTTCACTGCTTCCTGCAGGCTCTGCTGACTCTCAAATGAGCAGGCGACTGCTATCCGCTCTTGAAAGTTTGCGATAACAAAAAGTAGAAAAGTGCGTCCGTGTTTTTGGCATGTGTGTGTGATCCATGATGTTGTATTTTGACTGTAAAATGTTATATTCTTGTGAGAGATTACTCCGTTGGTATGGGCGTTGGATGTTGGGCGTTTGGCATGGTTTGGAGCCGGTTGAAGAAATTGTGCCAACGCTTTCCACTGAGCTCACTTTGGGGCCTCGATTGAAGGTGAAAAACGGTGAATGCACGCCGTCTTTTTGCTAGTACATGTGTTGAATATCAATCTTGACATTATCAGGTGCTGAGCAGGCCGAATGGGTTGCTTGTTGACCACGATCTGTGACTTGGCGACAAAGTGAAGAAAAACGAGCGAGTACGACTTGATTCCCAGCCTTGCAATCGATCGTATTTTGATCAATAGAGTTTATTTTTAGTGTTCTTTAATACTGTGAAAGTGGTTTGGTTCCAGTGGCTTTGGTTGTGGGTGTATTGGGAGTGAGCGAGTTCGACCGAAAAATGCATCAAAACGCAAAATTATAAACCAGCAACCTAGAAAACCAAAATTGCCACAACGGTACCAGCAAAAGAGGCAAAATCCACAGCCACCCCACCAATTACACAGCACACACATGCATCATTGTTTTCTGAATATCAGGAGCTGGAATGCAGCCCGTCCAAACAGCGCAGGCAAGGATCAAGCAGGACTCGTGTGAGTAGTGCGGGTGATGACCCTGCTGCACGCCTCTCTCCATCGACCGGTGCTACCTGGCCAATAGAGCAAGTCCTGCTACTGTATTTGTCGAATGCACAACCTCAAGTCTCGCAAGAGTACGCCCGCAAAACAGTCAGAACGCGTGGACCAAACTATGATTCAGGCCATCCTGAATTGCTCATCGTCCCAACTGGCCGCAAACTGACGCGAGAACATTCACGAGCACATCCAATCACAATACCATCATCCATTACCAATTACTTGACTCGTTCTCAACTCCAGTCATTTTTCCAAGCAACCGCAGCGTCAAAATATGCAGCGCAAAGAAAAAGGCATCAAAGATTTTGTCCTTTTGGACAAGATTGACGAGAACAGCTTTGTTGCCAACCTCAAGACGCGCTTCGAAGACAATGCGATCTACGTGAGTGACGACAGAGACCACCGGAAATGACAGGCAAAGCAAAGGAGAGGGAGAGCGGGAGAGAAAGGCAGAAAGGCAGGGGAGAGAGAATGGGAGAGACAAAGAGCAAAGAGAGAGGGATTTGCATTGGACAAAACGTAAGGCATTTTTTTATTTTTTTTGTGATGGATTTTTTTGATTTTTCTTATTATATTTTACTTTGCGGTGCTCTTTGGTCGTCTCGCGGTTGGTATGGCGTGCTGAGCATTGCTCGTCCGAGACTGTCGATGAGCGATTGTCCGACATTGACGAGCAGTTAACGCAACAAGGAAAACGGAAACTAGTTCGTCCCTCGAACGAAAAAAGAAGCAAAAAGCAAAAAAAAAAAAAAAAAAAAAAAAAACCACAACAATTCAATTCAATTCAATTCAATTCAATTCAAAAAAAAGAAAAAAAAAGAAAAAAAAAAGAAAAAAAAAGAAAAAAAAAAAAAGGCAAAACAATTCCATTCAAAAAAATGGCTGCTTTGGTTTTGCTCGCCTTCCATTCTAAGCATGCATCGCTCACTCACCTCAGCAAAGCAAGCACACGTGCAACCAAAGCGCGCTTCCACTGCAATGGTCACAGTCCAATTGTTCCCACCTATCAACCAACAAACAACAAAAAAAATACCGCTTGTTGTTCGGTGGTCGATCGAACTGGTCACTCAAGTTTCACTCTCCCCAACACAGACATATGTCGGCGAAGTCGTCGTCTCGGTCAACCCGTACAAAAAGCTTCCCATCTACGGTCCGGAAGAGATTGCGCGTTACCGCGGTACGTTCATCCACGAATGTGTTTTGAGAAATCTAGCCGACAAAACATTGGCTGACCCTTCCATTCCGATTTTTGCGCACTGCACTGTGACAACACTCTTCAGGCAAGTACGTCTTTGAGCCAAACATCAACCCGCACGTGTACGCTCTGACGGACACGGCGTACACGGCCATGAAGTTCAAGGGCATCGACCAGTGCATCATCATTTCCGGCGAGTCTGGCGCTGGCAAGACTGAGGCGTCCAAGGTCATCATGCAGTACATTGCTGCCGTTGAAAACACCAACCACAACACTGAAGTCGACCGTGTCAAGGAGCAGCTGCTGCGCACCAACCCTGTGCTTGAAGGTCGGTTGTTGGGGGAACATGCAAGTGGTGTTTAGAATTTCAAACATGCTCATTTGTTATCTCTTGTGTTTTTTCTTTTGTTGTTTGGCGCTTGCAGCTTTCGGCAACGCCAAGACCAACCGTAACGACAACTCGAGTCGCTTTGTAAGCACTTGACCTCAACCTTTCAACCCTTATTCCATCGAATTCTTCTTTGCCTGACTCACTTGCAAACAAATCAACAAAAAACTCACCCACAACCAAAACCACAGGGCAAGTACATGGACATCCAGTTCAACTTTTCAGGCGAACCGGTCGGTGGACACGTCACAACGTACCTGCTGGAAAAGTCGCGCGTCAACCACCAGGAGAAGGGCGAGCGCAACTTTCACATCTTTTACCAGCTGCTGGCCGGTGGCCCGACTGGCGACCTGCAGCTGCAAAAGGACGCGACCAAGTACCCGTACCTGAACAAGGGCGGCACGGTCAAGGTCGGCTCTGTCGACGATGCTGCCGACTTTAAGGAGATGAAGGGCGGCATGGACTTTATTGGCTTCACCGCCGACCAGCAGAACAACATTTTCAAGGTTCTTGGCGCGATTCTGCACCTGGGTCTTGTCGAGTTTGCGGCAGACGAAAAGGATGGCAGCAAGGTCAGCACCAAGCCCGTCCTCGAGACAATCGCCAAAATCCTGGGCACCACCCCGGCCGCCATCGAAACTGGCTTGTCGCACAAGACCATCATCTCGGGCGGCAACGTCATCTCGTCGCCCCTGACCCCCGACAAGGCCGTGTACTCGCGCGACGCTCTCGCACGTCAAATGTACCAGCGTCTCTTCTCCTGGATGATTGACCGCATCAACGAGAAGGTTCACACCCCTCACGGCGAGATCAAGAACGTGATTGGTGTGCTTGACATTTACGGTTTTGAGATTTTCGAGTCGAACAGCTTTGAGCAGTTCTGCATCAACTACTGCAATGAAAAGCTGCAGCAGCTCTTCATCGAGCTTACGCTCAAGACTGAGCAAGAAGAGTACATGAAGGAGGTACGTGAATGCGTTCCAGAGCAGTATTCTTTTTGGGATTTGTGAACTGATTGTGTCCAACTTGCGTTTGTACACAGGGCATTCAATGGACTCCGATCGAGTTCTTCAACAACCGCATCATTTGCGACCTCATCGAGAAGGTGAGTCATTGGTCTGCGTTGGCTCGCCTCAGTCCTAACCTCTGTTGGATTTGTCTTCACTTCTCTCACCCACTCTCTCCTTCCTTGTCGTCTTCAGAAACCCGGTGGCATCATCTCGCTCCTTGATGAAGACTGCATGCGTCCCGGTGACAAGTCTGACAAGGCCTGGCTCGAGAAGCTTCAGTCTGGCATCGGCGCACACGCGCACTTTGTGACCAAGAAGGGCCATGGTGACAAGACCTTCCCCGACAACTCGTTCAAGCTGGTGCACTATGCCGGTGACGTGTTCTACAACGTGAACGGATTTATCGACAAGAACGTTGACGCCTTCTTCAAGGATCTGGCCCAGGTCATGTTCGAGTCAAAGAACCCGCTGCTGCGCGAAATGTTCCCCGACGGCGACAAGGCCACCTGGAAGAACGCGGGCAAGATGCCGCCCACCGCAGGCACTGCATTCAAGACCTCGATGAACGAGATGATTGCAACCCTCAACACCAAGGCTCCGTCGTACATTCGCTGCATCAAGCCCAACGACCGCAAGTCCGCTGGTGTCTTTGATGAAGATCGCGTGCGCCACCAAGTCCGCTACCTCGGTCTGCTCGAGAACGTCCGCGTGCGTCGCGCCGGCTTTTGCTTCCGCGCCGAGTACGCCAAGTTCCTCTGGCGCTACCAGGTCATCTGCCCCCGCAACCTACCCGCACTGGAGGGGCGATGCTCGCTCGGGTGTCAAGGCCATTCTGGACCACCTCAAGCTCGACGCCAAAGAGTACCAGATGGGCAAGACCAAGCTGTTTGTTAAAAACCCCAAGACTGTCTTCACCTTTGAGGAGGAGCGCGAGAACATTATTCCCAAGTACGTCACCAAGATCCAATCGTGGTGGCGTGTGATTCGTGTCCGCCGTCGCATTCGCGAGTACTTTGAAAAGCTGCAGCAGACGTTTGCCAACATCAAGAAGGACCCGAACTTTGGCAAGGGCACTCGCTGGCCCGCCATCCCGCACCCCGTGCTCAAGAACGCCGAATCGACCCTCAAGAGCGTGCATGCCAACTGGCGTGCCAAGCGCATGGTGCTCTCCCTCTCGCCCGAGCGCCAAGACCTGCTCCGCAAAAAGTGCCTCGGCTCGACCTTCTTTACGAGCAAGCGCCCGTGGAACCTCCAGCGCGACTGGACTGGCAACTACATCCCTGCCCTCGGACTGGCCGCTCGCAGCAGTGCCATCTTCCGTGGACACGGCGACAAGGAGGTGGTGTTTGCCGACGAGGTGCTCAAGTACTCGCGCGGTGCGCGTCCCGACCGCCGCATGCTGATTGTTGGCGACGCCAACATTTACAAGCTAGACCCTGCTTTCAAGGTCACGCCCAAGCGTGTCATGTCCATCAAGCAGATCAAGGCCATCAGCGTGAGCCCGAACAAGGCCTCGGTTGCCGTCATTCATTCGACTCAGGTAAACAAAAAAAAAAAAAAAACAAAAAAAAAAAAACAAACAAACAAACAAACAAAAAAAAAAAAAAAAAGATCGGGGGTGCAAAGGTTACGAGTTGGTTTTTGTTGCTGCCATTTGCTCATTTATATTCTGGTGATGGTTGTTCTTCTTCGACAGCCCGGTTTCGACACTATCTTGGATCTCGGCGTGTCTGGACAAGATCGCCTGTCCGAGTTTGTCGTGTTGACATACCTGGCAGCCCGCAAGGCTGGCCACAAGTTTGCCGTCAACGTGGTTGACACCATCCAGTACAACAATGCTGAAAACCCGCAAAAGCCCACGCAGACGGTCGTGTTCCAAGCCAGCCCGCGCGCTCTCAAGCCTGGCCAGCCTTCCACTCTCAAGAAGGGCTCAACCAACACACTGTTCTACGCGCCTTAGACGACACGCACATTGTTTGTTCCGATTTGTGTGGGTGTGTGCGTTTGCGAGCTTTCGAGCTCGGATTCTGCCCCTGTTTGGTTTTTTTTTGGTCAGTGTTTGTACATGGCGTGTGCTGTTTGTTGGTTTCTGTCTATACTTCTGTCGTTACATCTGTCGATTCTAATCGATTCAACGTTTTCTTCGACGCCCTTTCGTTGTTGACCAATGTCCATTTCGAACTGTTGCTGCGATTCAAAATGTTGGTAAAAGCTGGACAGAACGAAATGTCGAAATCTTCGTGTCAAAGGAAAGAATATATGCATTTGTGTGTTGACAATCCATGACGCTAGTTGAAGGACGCGATGGCAAAAGGACGTTGGCTGTTGATCACTGGAGGAAGAGCACTGGCGAGAACAAAAAGAACAAACCAAAAAAACCAAAGCAGTGAGACCTTCTGCAGCAGCAGCAGCGCACGAGCTCTCCCCCCCCTGTGTGTGTGTGCATTGTGCAGAACTGTCACACACACACGCACTCTCTCTCTTTGACTTACTCGCTGCTGGCAGCGACGGCAGCAGGGGCAGCGGCAGCAGTCTCGCTGGTGAGCAAGGGCTGGCTGGTTGCGTTTCCAATGACCTTGCTGGGAGTGAATGCGCGTCGATCGTCGCGGTTCCAGTAGTAATTCTTGCTGAGCTTATGCGCGACGCCTGGGGGCAAGTTGGGCAGCGGCTGGGACCTGCCAAAGCATCCACTCTTGAGAGGTGAGCAAAGCAAAGGGGAAGCCACAAAACGAATGCAGAGCGACTTGTTACCGCGAGACAATGTTCACGCCTTGGTAGCGGAACGAGTGCGGTAGGATTGGGTACTACGGGGGGTTTCATCATGAACAAGAGGCAGACGAGCGAACGGGCGCGATTGAGTGAGTGAGTGAGTGAGTAAGATTAAGCGAGATCTCAACCTTTGATCCATTCAGTTCTCTGCTCCAACTGCCCATGTCCATAGTCCAAAAGGCACAAAAACCACAAGGAACAAAACAATGCAACAGAATGAAGACGAAAGACGAGCTTACGACAGTGACGATGCGCTTGAGCGCTGCGAGGACTTTCGACATGTGTAAAAATGAAAAAAAAAAAAGAAGGACTGAAGTTCACTCTTTCGTAGACGTTTTTGTTTCTGGTTGCCGCGTTTTCAGTCTCTTACGACCGTATTCACTAAACGACTCTACTTTTTTTTGGTTTGTTCTCTTTCTCAGTCTTTTTCTGATTCTTTTAACTTTGTGCCCACGAAGCAACCAAGCACAAAACACAAATGTCAGACGCTGTTGGACTGCTCAAAAAGACCGACGGTGACCTCAGCAGCAGCAGCAGCAGCGGTAGCAGCCACACCGGTAGCAAGCAGAAGGGCAATGGTGGAAAGGGGAGCAGTGCTGACAGTCAAGACCCGGCCGCGCACCGCCTGAAGCTCGTCCGCCCGTTCCTCCGCCGCAAGGTCTGTTCCCATTCAATTCGCACTCTCTCTCGTGCACGCTTGTCTCGAGTGAAGCGAGTTGGGAGGTGAGAGGGCCCAAGTGAGTGAGGGGGGCTTCTGTCGGGGGTTTCGGTTTCACCGCAACACCGCCTTCGCTCGCTCTCGTCCACTACCCTCCCACCTCTCTCTCTCTCTCTCTCTCTCTCTCTCTACTCCAACGTAGTCTTTTGCCACATTCTCCCACTCGCTTCTCGTAATTCTAATGCAAAACAAACAAACAAACAAACAAACAAGGTTTCCAAGGTCGGACTGGACTTGTGGCTGATGGCTTTTCATTGGTTTTTTGTGTCGTGGTTTCCTATTTTTTTTTTTTTTGTTCTTTTTTTTTTTTTTTTTTTTTTCTGCCTCTCAAACTCGGGTTCCGTTGAATGAACGCAACGCAATGCTTTCACGCTCTGCTTGTGCAATGGTACGGAAATGACATTCTGCGAGCGACCGAGCGACGCGGTTACGAGCCAAAAAAACAACCAAAAAAACAAGGGCAAAAGCAGGGGAAAACGCCAAGGCTGCCGTTCTCCGAGCCCAGCCGAGCCCAGCCGAGCACTGCCGAGCAGCTCTGTGCGAACAAAGCAGCAGTATTCACACACACAAACATTGCTTGAATGGCATGGTCGTGCGGGTTTGCGTGCCCGCAGAGAACATACAAAGAGTCGGCCCAGTGCTAAATCTGAGCATGCTCAGACAGAAAGTGTTATGATCAAAGATCGTTCCACGAAGATACGAGTAATGGGTTGATGTTGAGAATGACGTTAGGGAAACTAGAGACTTCACTTATACAAAGCGACGAGTGAACACACTCCAAATACAGATACACATCAATCCATAACAGAAAGCAACCCCACTCGGCATCTGTCAAACTAACCAATTTTGCTTCTCGTCTCTCCCCCCCCTCTTTTCGATTGTAGGTCGAGGCCGGCACAGAAACGGTCCTGCGCATCCAAAAGTTCTTCGGCGTGACGCCTGATATCGCATCGCGCAAATGGAAAGGCTTTGCGTTCTACTATTTCCACATTGCTGCTGGAATGGGCACGGAGATTGCCTTCATCACTCTGCTGCCCTTCCTCTTTTGGTACTGCCCGGCGAGCCTTGCACGCTGGGTTTGCTTCGCCTGGGCCACCAGCATGTACCTTGGCCAGGTGCTCAAGGACTACATTATGCTGCCCCGTCCGCCGCCCCCGGCTGTTGTTTTGGAGCGCTCCTTTTCGGGCGAGTGGGGCTTTCCCAGCACTCACGGTACGGATGGCCCTGTACTGTTGGCGGTTTTGTTTTGTGTTGGACACGGGCGTTTCGTTGTCGCGCCCGTCCTACATGCTTACTTTCGCTGTTCGCCGCTGTGTTGTTGCAATTCGTCACCGTTCCCTCCCCCCCGCCACCCTCTTAGTGATGGGCGGCCTTGTCATCCCGTTTGCTATTGCCGAGTACCTGGTCGACAACAATCTGGCTACCCCGCTTCTTGCTGGCGCATGTGTCTTTGTTTGGATTGGCTCGATTGCCATGTCGCGCCTTTACCTTGGCGTGCACTCCCCGACCGACCTGATCGGAGGATTGATTTTCGGTGTTATTCTCTATGTCGCCTGCCATCCGTTGAACCAGGCGCTGGACGCCCGTATCGGCCACAGTCCTCGTGACGTTCAAATTCTCACCCCCATCGTTACCGCCGTGCTTTTGCTGCTCTATCCCACAAGCTTCAAGTGGACGAGTGCGTATGGCGACACGTAAGTTGAGCTTTTTGCTCGCTCGACGTGCACGCAAGAAAAGGGTCTCGAGTTTGACTGGGTTTTTGATTTGTTTTTTCTTTGTTCTTTTCTGTTGGCTGCTTGCTTGTGCGGGTCTGGTTTGGTGGGGGAACCACTTTTTAGCGCTACAATCCTCGGCACTGAGACGGGCATCATCATGGGCTCTACCCTGCATCCAGTGTCCCTCGTCTATTACGGCGCACATTTTAGCGACTTGATCACTTTCACTCCACTCGTGATCGGCAAGTTTTTTATCCGCTACGGCGTTGGTAAGTCATCTCTGCTCTGCAGCGAACGAACGAACGAACAAAACCAAAACAACATGAGCAACTGTTTTATGTTTGATTGCGCATGATGCCACTTCCCCTATTTTTGCTTACGCCATCTCGCGATCGTTTTGCTACAGGCTGCGCCATGCTTTTCCTGACCCGCCTCATCTTCAAGACGCTCATGACCCGTGTGTTCACGTATCTCTTGACAAGCAGCGGTTCGCTCAAGGGTGTTCCGACTGTCACTCGTGATCGCGAGCGGCCATACGGCGGCTATGTTATTGAAATTCCGACCAAGTTTGTCACTTACTCGATGGTTGGCTTTATGGCAACGTTTGCGGTGAGTGCGAGCTCATGCGTTTTTGGCTCTGCTTTTTTTTTGCTGTTTTGCTGTTTTGCTTTTGTGAAATCTGCTTGGCTGGGCTCTCTCATTTTTTTGGCTACTTTTCTGTGTGATGTGTGGTACACAGATGCCGGCTTTCTTCCGTTATATTGGTCTGGACAATTAAGCCCACGACTACCCCCGTTTACAACCTGCAGCGTTGTATCCAATACATTCTCGTTGGTGTTTTTCATGTGCTATCATAGCGTTCGTATCCATTCGCGCTGGGGTTTGTCGGCAGTCTGACAGAATTGTTGCACCGGCATCTACTGTAGCGACGCACGGGAGGCACTCGCTCGATGCGAACGGGAGAAGAAGAAGAGTTGGCCCATCGCTCACTCCACATCCGCGAGGCACAATCTTCTCATAGGGTTGAAATGGATCCTGTTCGATGTACCTTGGATCTATGCACAGCCACCCCACCAGTCACAGGCAATTGAACGCCCCTTCTATTTTTGTTGTCAAAGGCGAACAAAGCGAGCATTGATGCTTCTTCACGTTTGACTCATCGCTGTGCCATGCTATTCCAACACACCCGTGTCAGCTGTTCAGAATGCAAACCTTTTCGGAATGAAATTGAATTCAGTCATTATTTGTAAGGATTTTGTTGAGAAATTGCCAATTATCAAGAAAAGAAAAAGGAAAAAAAAAAGGGGAGAAGAACGAACAAATGAGGAGATTTTGCTCCGAGTTGCATTGTCGACGAGCGTGGAATGGCAAACGCAGTCAAGCAGATGGATGTAGATAGAGAGAGAGAGAGAGAGAGAGAGAGAGAGAAAGAGAGGGAGTGAATTGAATGAGAGAGATGGATGAGAGATGGAGCTGGAGCTGGAGGAGATGGTGGTAGCGACACGAGAGCAGATCTGTGAATGACATGTGCCATTCGACGACGCGCCGCACCTGGAAATTGCATCCCAGTCACTCATCAATGGAGACAAGTGCGATGAAGCAGACAGCAGAGTGCGACGAAAGAGAGAGGGAGAGAGCGAGAGAGAGAGAGAGCTCGTCTGTGGGAAGGTTGGGCTTGCGCTGGAAAAAGCCAGCGAGAAGTTTTGAACGTCGTGTCGCACGATGCAGGCTTGCTTGAGTTGAGAGCTCGCATGTGGACGCATGTCGCTTTACAAAGTCATTGGTGCAATTATTGGTGCAATCATTGGCGAGAGTGACTCGGCCAGGCGTGGGGGGGGAGGGCTGTGGCTGGGTGGAGAAGCAGGGCAAACCGCAAGAAGTATCACGGTTTTACGGTTTTTGCTTTCAATGGTGAAGTCTCCATGCAGCTCGCATCTCGCTCCTCTCCTTTGTCAGTCGTCCATCTGACCTCGTGTGCTTTGATCAACTTGACTCCTGTGTCGTTCCTCTCTCCTTCCAGCAAGTGAGAGAACAACCAGAAATAATTCATAAAAACAACAACAACAACAACAAAATAATAATACTATTAATAATAATAATAATAAATCGCAAAAACAAAAAAAAAAAAGAAAAAAAAAAGACTCAACCGTTTTGTTGATTGTTGTGATGGCTTTTGTTTTGATTTTGGCGGTTTTTGTCAAAGCTTTTACTAACATTGGGAATTGAACTTTCCGATTTCAAAAACGATCTGCAACGTTCACATTCAACGCATGCATTCTCAAGAAATGCAAGCCTGCTCGAGAAAGACGGCGGGACTGCTGATCGTCGTGGCGGTGGCAGCAGCCATCTGGCCCACCCGTGTTGCTGCACAGTCGAATGATTGCAGCACTGCGCCGCTGCTCGACCCCACAGTTGCCGCATGGAACTTTACGACTCCGTCAACCACGTATCAGTGCTCTGATGGTACCGATAAGTGCATGGTTTGGCGAATCAACACTCCAACCACCATTACGAACTGGGGAATGACAACCTGCGGCTACCTTGACGACACTTCATTGATTCTGCGAACGGGACCTTGCACGGCAAATAATCATTTTGGCGACACTAGTTTGGGTGTCTACAACCGTGATGGTTGCGGCGCCAGTGCTTTGCTTTACGGCCTCACTCTAAATGCAGGGCAGGACTACTATTTGATGCTCGGTCTGCCAAGTGCCCTTCCCGCTAGTGGAGTCGTAGGCAAAGGTTCCAATCTCTGCGTTGCTGGAACGACAGATCACGATATTACAACCAATCCCACGTATCACTTATCGACTCCTTGTGTGACTTGCTCGCCTGGTCAGTACGTTCCCGCTGGGTTGACTGGACCTTGCTCAAATTTCAACTGCAGCATCGGCTCTGTCGATCATGATAGCAATCCAGCGACCGCCTGTCTCGTTGCTGGCCCTGGCAATGATACGACTTCGTCTGGGTTGCATGGTCCCATCGCCAACTTTAAAGTCGTTGCTGGTCGATACGACCACGACAGCAATTCGTCGACGCCCTCAATCGCCTGTCCCGCCGGCAACTACGCACCTGTGGGCAGCACGACCTGCACCCCGTGCTCTGCTGGCACTTGGGACCACGATGGCTCATCGGCAACCGCTTGCGTGGCTTGCACCGCGTGCACACTCGGCTCCACCTACGTATCTACGACCTGCACCGCCACCGACGACACCGTCTGCTCTACCTGCGCCACATGCGGCCAAGGATCTTTCGCCAGCCCGGCGTGCACCCTCACGGCCAATGCCGGCTGCGCGAACTGCACTTCCATCCCCAGTTGCACGACCACTGGTCTGACCTGCTCGTCAAATGCCGATCAGCAGTGCAACTTGTGCCAGGCTGGCAACTACGTAACGCCCGAAGGCACTTGCGCTCCATGTACCGCGTGCGGTTCAAACTCGTACCAAACGAGCGGTTGTGATGGTGTCGTCGACCGTGTTTGCTCGGGTTGCGTCCTCTGCACAGCAGGCCAGTACCAAAGCGTGGATTGCTCGCCTACCACCAACCGTGTTTGCCCTGCATGCAGTGAGGTTCCAGGCTGCACGACCGGTCTGCGTTGCACCAACAGCATGGATTCGACTTGCATCGACTGCAGTTCGTGCCCCCACGGTCAGTACGTGAACGCCACCTGCACCAATGTGCTCGATCGCGTCTGCCACAACTGCACTGCACTTCCAGGCTGCCCGGCGTCCTACACTGTCTGCAGCGCGTATGGAACCAGTACTTGCACCGCACCCGAGGAGAGCTCGTCCATGCCCGTTTACATTCCGATTGTCGCTGCAATCGGCGGACTGTTGCTGATCCTGCTGCTTGCATTTGTGCTGGCTCGGCGTCGCACCCGCAAACCAGCCACAGTTGTGGCAATCTCGCACGAGGACATTACCATGATGACGATCAACACGTTGGCCATCAACCCAGCGAATCGTCGTGCGTCTCAGTACGAGACGCTCAACGGAACTCGCGGTGGTGGCGATTCCGCAGTGTACGATACTCTGGACGCCGTCGGTTCACATGGCGGGTATGCCGTTTTGTCGAAACCAGACGCCATCGTTCCCCCTCGAAGCCGGAAGCCTGTGATTTCATCTGACTTGAGCTCGACCTCGGGGCCGCAGCATAAAATGGTGGACACGGATGAGTACGAAACGGTCGGCCATGCAGCGCAGCGAGAAACGCCGACGGACATGGATCAGTACGCAACTGTCGACCATTCAGCGAAGCAAGCCGGGGTGATGGCCAGCGAGGGGTACCAAACGCCAGGCGCTGCACCGCAGTATGATCCCGACTCGAAGCCGGAATCGACGCGGGACGTTGTCTACACTGCCGCTGATTTCTCGTGACCAGCATGTTGTTGATGCAGCTTTGCTTGTTGCTTTCGTGCTAGTACTGAATGAATGTGTAGTTTTTGCCTTGATTGCACTGAGCATGAAGTTGGAGGCATCACGCCTGATACTATTTGAATCGCCCAAAAAAACAAAAAATAAAAACCAACCAAAAAAAAAAAGAGTTACAACAAGCAGTATTCCCGCGTGGTCTCCCACCGCAGTACTAACTACTCTCATGGTGGTTTAACTTCGCAGAGCGGAACGGGATGCGGTGCATTCCACCAGATATGGCCGTAACTGAAATACAGAGGTTGGGCACTGGCATCTTGTCGCGCGAGCTGCCAATGCAGCGCACTCCGACCTTTATCTGACTTTCATCCATTTTGTGCCATCCTGATTGTCGAAAACACTCGTCCAAAAATCGCCACCAATCTGCTTCGTCTCACTTCTCTTTTTCTTCATTCCTTTTCTTCATCACCCTTTGCCAGGTCTCCACTTTCCTTGGTCTTGATCGAAGGTGAGGAAAGTTGTGTACATTCATCACCAAAAAATGCAACCACATTCATGTTGATTCCAGCCGTCCGCTGTGACCTCTGCTTTGTGTCTCTCTGACGCACAGTGCTTGCAGACACTTTCAACGTGGTTGGGGGTGCGGATTGGGGTGGTGGTGGTGGAAAGGAGGATCGGGGCGAGCGAGGAAAGGTGGGCGACCCACTCGATCGATCATTTTGGAGATTTTTGGAGGACCGGCGCGACAACAACTCGAACGGCTATCTGTACGCACCAACAGCGATGCGACACACCACTCGTGCTACTGAAGTGGCCTGCAAGCGGTGCAAGTGACGCTTCGTTTTCGAGGGACAGCGGGAATCGGAGGATTCTGTGATTATCCACCACAGGAATGAGAAAATGACCGCTTTGCAATTCCGATCAGGCGAGCGGAAGGTAGAAGAACGCAAAACGCGCTGTGTTGAAGCAGAGCAGCACAGCAAGGTTTGCATCTGTTTATGGACGAAGCAGGTGAAGCGGGAACGGATGGCAGTTTTGCAGAAACGCGCAACGGAAGACGCGAGCGGAAGAATATTACATTCTGTGTGAAAAATGTTTGGGTTTTCAACGGGCGCACTTGTTTTGTTTTTTTCAAGTGCTGCGCGACAATGCAGTGCCTCGAGCTGATGAAGTGTGGTCTACACGAGCGCAGTGTACGACATGCGTGGGAACTGACACGACGCGGATGGAGATGAGTGCTAACAAAAAAACAACAAAAAAACCCAACAAAAAACACACTACCAAATGCAAACAATCGTCGCGTTTGTTTTCGAAGGTCCAATCACACACACTCGTGCTGCCAGCGTCTTTATCGCGAGACTTGTCACCGATCACAGTCGATGGCCAGTCATGCCACATTCAACAGAAAAAGCGAGCACAAAGCGAGAACAGCTGCCAAAAACAGTAGTCTAATTAAAAATACAAACAAAACAAATAAAAAAAATACAATAAAAAATAAACAACAAAACATTCCAAAAGAACAAAACAAAACAAGACACAAAAGGCAAAAAACAAACAAAAAACGCGACATTTTGTGATCTGATCTGATCGACACTCTAAACCACAAGGATGACTCACCTTACGAACAACAACAAACAAACATCACCTCAATGGAGAGACAGAACAGACGGATGGAGCGTTTGTGTGGTTGCTCGTTTCGCCTTTTTGCTCACACTTTTGATATTTCTACCTTGAAAACAGGTCTAAATGACAATGTTGCACCTCGCATTGCTCATCGCCGCGGTTGCGCTGCTAGCGGCACCTGGTCCTGGTCGGGTAGCCGCACAGTCCAACGACTGCCACAGTGCTCCGCTGCTCCCTCTCGGAGTCAGCCCGATTTTCTACAACTACACAATTCCAGCAAACCCGTTTCCGTGCCCCGATGCGCCTGCGCAAATTTGCATGGTCTGGAGGGTCCGAACCACAGTGTCTTACACAATACAACTGACATCGTGTGAATACGTCGCCGATACGTCATTTACCTTGCGAACCGATTGCAATACCGGCCACTTTGGCGACTCGACCTCCTTGGTCTACAACGACAACATTGGAGGAGGCTGCCCACCCTCCGCAACATCATCGTCCATTTTGTTCACGCTGACGCCCAATGTGGATTACTTCTTCAGTCTCGGAGGCCCTGCATCAACACTGCCAACTCAAGCGGCGTTCGGGCTGGGTTATGCCTGTGCCGAGGGGGAAACCAACCACGACGCCTTTTCGGCCCCCAAGTCACACTTATCGACTCCTTGTGTGACTTGCTCGCGTGGTCAGTACCTTCCCGCTGGGTCGAAGGGACCTTGCTCAAGCTTCAACTGCAGCATCGGCACTGTCGATCACGATAGCAATCCAGCGACCGCCTGTCTCGTTGCTGGCCCTGGCAATGATGCGACTTCGTCTGGGTTGTATGGTCCCATCGCCAACTTTAAAGTCGTTGCTGGTCGATACGACCACGACAGCAATTCGTCGACGCCCTCAATCGCCTGTCCCGCCGGCAATTACGCACCTGTTGGCAGCACGACCTGCACCCCGTGCTCTGCTGGCACTTGGGACCACGATGGCTCATCGGCGACCGCTTGCGTGGCTTGCACCGCTTGCACACCCGGGTCAACCTACGAATCAACGACCTGCACCGCCACCACCAATAGAGTCTGCTCTACCTGCGCCACATGCGGCCAAGGACTTTTCGCCAGCCCGGCGTGCACTGTGACGGCCAATGCTGCCTGCGCGAGCTGCACTTCCATCACCAATTGCACGACCACTGGCCTTACTTGCACCTCGAACTCGAATCAGCAATGCGGCTTGTGCCAGACTGGCAGCTATGTCACTCTTGCAGGACTCTGCGCTCCGTGTACTGGGTGTGGCTCGGAAACGTACCAAACCGCTGCTTGCAACGGTCTGACAGACCTGACCCAGTGCACCAGCTGCACTATTTGCGGCGCGAATCAGTACCAAGCTACTCCTTGCGGCGGCACGGTCGACCGCACTTGCGCTGCTTGCGCGACTTGCACTGCTGGACAGTACCAAAGCGCGGACTGCTCGCCAACAGCCAATCGAGTGTGCACGGCTTGCACTCCGGTTGCCAACTGCACTTCCAGCGTCCACTGCACCACCAGCTCGGACTCGTTTTGCGTCGACTGCAGTTCCTGCCCGCAAGGACAGTACATTGCGACGGCGTGCACGGCTGTTCTTGGTCGAACCTGCGGAAACTGCACCGCGCTTGCCGGGTGCCCTTCGTCACGCACCGTGTGCGTTGTACCCGGGCACAGCACTTGCATCGAGCCTGAAGAGAATTCCTCCGCGACAGTCTACGTCCCCATCGTGGCTGCGCTTGGAGCACTGCTGCTCGTGGTGTTGCTGGTCGCGATTGTTCTCTCGCGTCGGCGAAAGTCGACCTCTGCCGCCGAAAGCAAAGCCGACCTCGACATCACAATGATGACTATGAACCCTCTCAACCTTAGCAACAAGACCTCACGTACGACCTTTACAGAGGATGCACCCGGCATTTACGACCGGCTGTCGCAAAACCCGCCCATCACGTACCAGGTGTTTTCATCTGACGCGCCCGATAACTATGCCCCACCGACTGCCCAGTACATAGACTTTACGGCGTCCCAGGAGTACACCGCCTCCGATGAAAAGCCAGCGCAACCGCCCAGTCAGTACACGAATATGATGGGTCTCGCGTCGGACGGCACACCCGTTCCCAGCGCGATCTATGCCAACTATGCTGAGCCAGCCTCTGTCGTGTACGCTACCGCCGACACGAGCTGAGCTTTGCGATTTCTCCTTTCTTTTTGTTCCTGTTTTGATTTTGATTTTGTTTTGTTTTGCGACGCTTTCTCAGATTTTTGCCGCTGGTTGGTTTTTTTTTCTTATTTCTGCTGCCTGTTTGTTGGACATTGAATGCCATTTTGTAAACTTTTGTATTTCAGAGATTTCTTCTCAGTCCACTATTTTTGTTTCCTTTTCCATTTTCTCAGATGCATTTCGGCAAGCGTCTTGCTGCTTCCGCCGTGCCGCAATGGTCGCGGTGCGTAGTGTGCATCGAGTCGAATCCCAGCTCCATCACACGCTTCACTCCTCCGCCAAAAGCCGCCCCCCCAAAAACCACACATCTCAAACCAAGCAGCACTTACACCCAACATCAACACCTCAAAGTTTGTGGCGGGGGTAGGGGAAAGTGATCGAGCGCTCGCTCTACGCTTCGTATCTACGTCCCTGACTCGAGCCTCACCTTGTCTCGCCTTGTGTGTCTCTGCGTGTGCGTCTGCGTTAGATTCTACCTCAACTTCCGACGCCTGAAGCGCCTGGTGACGCGTGCGGAGACTGCTCGTGTGGCTGCTGAGGCTGCGGGCGAGGCGCCGTTGGACGGGCACAGCGTTGCTGCACAGGCCGCGCTCGCTGCTGCTGCGGCTGCGTTCGTTGCTGCTGGCCAGGCTGCGCACGAGCGGCACCAGGACGACCCTGCTGCACACGACCGCCATCCGATGACTGCAGACGCCGCGGGTGACTCGTCCGCAGCGACGACGACGACCGGCGCAGTCACTTCGCTGAATGACATTGTCACGCAGTTCTTCTTTACGCTCGACCGCGAGCTCGAGATGGTCAACTACTTTTACGATCTCAAGATTGCCAAGTTCACCATGGCCACGAGTGTGCTGTGCATCAAGGCAGATGTCGCAGTCACTGCGCTGGCAAACCAGCAACCAGCCCCGAATGTCGAGCTGATTGAAACGGCACTCCGCGATCTCCACACGTCGCTCAACAAGCTCCGAGAGTTTATTTCGCTCAATCGCACTGGTAAAGAAAACAAAAAACGAACATGGGCTCAGGCCATACTTGCAGAGAATTGCACTTGTTGTTTCTCGAGGCGCGACGAAATGGTCGTTGTTAAATTTTGCATGACTCGCTTTCTTACCTCACGCTTCTCATTCTCTCCGCCTCGACGCGTCATCCGACTTGGCACAAAACGCGCAGGGTTTGAAAAGATTCTGAAAAAGTTTGATCGTCGGGTGCATCGCGCTGCCAGCGACTCGTACCTCAAGACCAAGGTCTATCCAGCGAAATTCCTGTCCGACACGTCGCTCGCCTTGCTCCGCACCAAGGTGTCGGAAAGCCTGCGCGCTGTGGTCCAGGCTCGCTCCAGGTTTGTGGACGGGCTGAGCTCCCTTCCCACAAATGTCGCAGATGCCGTCCCGAATTATGCACACTGCCGTCAGCCTTGACCGAGCTCACAAGCTTGCCACGTTGATTTCTGCCACCTTCCCGAGCCTTTCCGGAACCTCCGCCGTGGCCGATGCTCTGCGCGAGCTCTCAGTCGACGAGCTGACGCCTTCGAACAGCAGCATGTCTGCAGGGTCGTCGTTCTCGTCGGCGTCTCCCGATGTGGTTGGCCATGCAGGCACGCACACCCTTGCAAGCACCATTGAGCGTCTGCGTCATGCTGCGCTTGAACCCGGGACCAGCGTTGGCAAGGTGTCGGCGAATGTGCCGGCAGCGGCAGCGGCACCTGCACCGTCCGCGCCGACTAACGCTGCGGTCGTTACGCCGCCAACCATGCTCGGACCTGAAGTCATGTTTGTGCTGGCGCCCGTGTTCATTGCTGCTTGCAAACGTGGTGCTGTCAAGTGCGTGCATGTGCTTCTGAGCTTTGGTGTCAATGTCAACACCCAGAGCGACGCGGACGATCAGAGCGGTCTGTTTGCAGCGACGGCTGGAGGCCACCGTGCGTGCATGAGCTTGCTGTTATCTCGCGGGGCCAATCCCAACCTGGTTGATCATGAGAGCCGCATGGCCCTTCATGCAGCGGTGCTTCGTGGCGACAAAGAAGCGGTGGCCTTGCTGCTTGCGGCTGGGGCCGACGTTGCTGCCCGCGATCATGACGGTCACTCGATGCTCTTCTTTGCTGTGAGCACTGGCAATGCTGATATCGTCCAGCAACTGATTGATGCGGGTGCTCCCACGAACACATCCGCAGTCCCGGCATCGCCCCTTTCTGGTCGGCTCTACGACCAGCCCCCCCTCCTGCTGTCCTGTCGCTTTGGCTTCTTTGACGTGGCCAACCGGCTGATTTGCGCCGGTGCAGATCCCAACGCGACAGACGAGGCCGGCGAGACTGCTTTGCATGCCGCCTGCAGCGAAAATGCCGTCGAGTGCGTCGAGCTCCTGCTGAAGCACCAAGCGCAGGTCGACGTGCGCGACGTGTACTCTTCTCGCACGCCCCTCTTTGATGCGGCCATTGGCGGCCACCTGTCCTGCGTCGAAAAGCTGCTCGCCGCTGGTGCGAAGGCCCTCGTGCGTGATGTTGACGGGTGGCGCCCTTTGGTGCATGCCATGCTTCGCGGTCACATGTTTGTTGTCGCCGTCTTGCGCGAGCACGAGAGGGCCGAGCAGAAGGCCAACCCCACCGAGCTTCGTGCGCCGAAGCCAGCCAACCCGTCATTTGTGGCTCCGCGCCGAGCCGGACAGCTCCATCCCCACATTCAAGCTTCAGACAAGGCTCCTGCGCCGTCAGCAGTCCCCAAGCCACCCTCACCGTCCATTGTCGATGGCGAGGTGACTGAGAAGATTTCCAACGCCGAGCGCTCGTACGGCCACACTTATCTTCGACGCCGCACTCGAATTGACATCTTCCTGGGTGGCGTTGATGACCAAGGGCCCATCATTGATCTTTTGCACTACGGTCACACGATGCGCGATTCCAACGGCGCCTTCACGTCGCGTCGCACCTTGTACGACCCCATCCTCACGTCCACCTTCCAGGAACGTCCTCCAGGCGAGATTGCCACGAGTCAGACGGCGGTGCTGGTCAAGTCTGAATCCTCAACCGATTTCTCGCACGACACCGCTCTCGGTCCGATCGAGCGCTCGGCATCGTTTTCCACGCTGGGCGCGCCTCAAGCGTCTCCCATGTTTGACAAGCAGAATGTTCCGCTCTCCCTCTCGTCCTTCCGGCTGCAAATCGCAAGCAACCAGCCGCAGACCGATCTCGTCATGATCGACTTGCCGATTGTCGAGCCAAGTGCAGCTCATCACATGTACTACTGTGAAGACATTGCGACAATGCAGCTTCGTATCGACGTCATTTCGCAGGCTGACGACACGCTCATTGGTCGTGGCTTTATTCTCGCGTCGACGTTGGCTCGTCTCCGTGGCGAGACGCGTTGTGCGCTCTTCTCGCCGTCGATGCAGCTGATCGGCACGGTGCTCATCACCTTCCTGATTGTCAAGCCTCTGCACCATCCCCGTGTTGCCGTTGGTAGCAATACGTACTGGAAGTTGACCGAGGTAGGTAGATTTGGTTCTAGTGCTTGCTTTTCCACGTCTGACTCTCGAATTTGAACCGTCTCTTCATCTCTTGCGTTCTTCTTTCCCCGAAACAGAGCCTACCCATCATTGGTCACCGTGGCGTTGGTGCTGGTGGTGCTGCCAAGACGGGCGACTTTCATCGCACTCACATCAAGGAAAACACCGTCCTTTCGTTTGTGACGGCGGCTTCTCTTGGCGCACAATACGTTGAATTCGGTACTGAACGATGGCAATTTTTACAGATTTTCGGGGGGTTTGCTGTTCTAGTGGCTCACTTGCTCAACGTCTGTTCATTTTCAACGTAGATGTGCAAATGACTAAAGATGGCGTGCCCGTCATTTACCACGACTGGACTGTGAAGGAGACGGGTTACAACCTTCCAGTTTGTCGCCTGAGCCTCGAAAAGTTTACGAGCATCTATCACGCGCAAGGCGGCCGCAGCAAGGACCGTCGCCTTGTGCGCTCGAAGAGCTTTGATGCCGCCGATATTGTCTCAGCGCGTCCCCTCCAAGCAGGCAGCGGAGTGACGCACGACGTTGCGCACGACATTATGAACAGCCCGAAGTCCAGCGCTCGACCTGTCCGTCACAAGCGTGACAACGACTACCAGGCCATGCTCGAGTCTGCCATCAAGCTGCAAATTGGTGATGAGGGAGTCGCAGCTCCCTTCCCGACGCTTGAGGATGCTCTGAAGGTAATGAAATGCGCTAGTTTTTTTGCGACCGATCAATCAGCCGAGATGGCATCACTGTTGTTGTTAACTTTGCGGTCGGTCTGTGACAGAATGTGCCGATCACTCTTGGCTTCAATGTCGAGGTCAAGTATCCTCTTCGTGAGGAGCGAGAAGAGTTTGACTTGCAGATGATGGAACTCAACAACTTTATCGACCGCATTCTGACCTGCGTGTATGACAATGCTGGCGAGCGGCCCATCATCTTTTCTTCCTTCCACCCGGAGACTTGTCTCATGCTCTCGCTCAAGCAACCCAACTACCCGGTGTTCTTCTTGACATCGGCTGGTTGGGATAACGAGCGGTTTAGCGATCCCCGTTGCAACTCGATTTACTGGGCCATTCACTTTGCCAAAGCGGCCAACCTGCTCGGTAAGCTGGATTTCGTGATGTATGGGGGTGGTGGTATCAAGATGCGCACCAATGGAGGTTTGACTTTGTGGTTGTCCATTTGGCGACTTCCATTGTGTCCACAGGCATTGTCTCGCAGTCTGCGCCATTCTTGGAGTGTCCCGAGCTGGTGCACGCTGTAAAATCCAGCGGATTGCTGCTGCTTACGTGGGGCCGTGGCAACAACGACGTGACAAATGTGCAGCTGCAGCGTGATTACGGCGTGGATGCGGTCATTCTGGACCATGTTGCTCACGTGCGCTCTGGCCTCCAAGCCGCTACTGCTGTGCATGCTGCAACTGCAGTTCCCGAGTAGACTGTTTGAACGTTTTTTGGGGTTGATTATCATTTCTTGAGGATTTGAATCGCATGCAATGTCAACAGAAATTGTCAAAGCACTTTCCTTCTTGGATTTGGAGGACAGTAAATTTTTCAAATTGATTGGGGAAACAAACATACAAACAAACAAACAAACACGCGAAAAAAAAAGCCATTCACTCATACCAAGCAACAAGATCACAAGATCACGAGACAGAAACAGAACGTTACTGCTGCTGTTGTTGTGCGTACTGCTGCTCAAGCAAGAGTTGTTGCTGTTGCTGTTGGTACAAGAGGAGTTGCTCTTGCTGGAATGCTGCCAAGTGTGCGTGCACATCGGGGTGGTCGATCGGGAGACCAAAATGTGCTGCGATTTGCTGCAATTGCGCGAGGTTTGCCTGGTGCTGTTGTTCCAGCAGAGCTGCCTGTGCGGGGTCGAGTTCGGCCGCAGCATCCTCGGCATCTGGACCAGCATCGTTGATGGACATGTCTTCGAGCAATTCCTCGAGGCCAACGCTGGGATCCTCTTCGCCTTCCTGTTCCAAGTACTGGCGGCGCTCGATTTCGGCCAATTGAGCGGCCTGCAGATCGACGTTGGGATCTATCAAAAGGCGAGCAACCAATAAAAGCAGAGACAGCTCACGTTAGGACAAAAACACGGAGAGAGCAAGTCCAAATGCAATAGCAAACCCCTTACCGCGATACAAGTTGATGTTGGCACGCAATTCACGATCCTCCTCAAGATCCTCAAGGAAGCCCTCAAAATCAGCTCTGAACGACAAACAAAGCGTACGGCACCAAAATTTGTCAGCGTGGAATTTGCAAAAAAACGACAAACACTGAAACCAACACGAGGAGCTGGGACATACACGGCCTTCTCCTCGTCGCGCTTGCTAATACCCTCAGACTCCTTGTTAAGGGTCTGGAGACGCCAAGTGCGGTTCTTGCGCGAACGAATTCGCTCGGGGTAGGTCTTCTTGATCAGTGCCTAAACAACAATAGTTGCGATGAACGTGAAAACAAACGAATGAGCAATGATACAACAAGCAACGGGACAAACGAAAACGAACTCCACGGGGCCTCAAAAACTTACAACATCGGGAAGACGGTCTGTCGGGTACTCGTTTGCGTTCTCGTCGTTGAAATTCAAGTAGCCAATGTCAAAGCCGAGGCAAGTGTCGCCAGTCTTGAGAACGTTGCCAAGGTGTGTTCGGCCTTGGAAGACAATATCGTTCTTGCCAAAATCGCGCGTGCGGGCAGCCGTGAATTCGGCCATGGCAAACTAAACAAACAAACAAAAAAAAAAAAGCAAGCAAAAGGAAAATAAAACGTGAATACACGCGGCAAAGAAAACTACGACCAAGAACCACTTTGCAAGGTGAAGGACACACACCTTGCCGTTGGTCACACCCGTTGGCTCAATTTCAAGAATAGTGTACTCGACAAGGTGCTTTTGCGAGCTCAAAGCACGGAAAGGATGGCGGTTGAAAAGGTGGACGCTAATTTCAGTGACTACGTGTCGTAGAAAAAGAAAGAGGAGGAGAAGAAGAGGAAAACGAAAGGGGGGGCCATTGAGTCAAACAAAATGCAATAAAACCATACGCCCGTTCCATCACACAAAAACAGTCACGTACCTTGCAATGTTCGCGGGTCAATCAAATGGACACTGTTGCCAACGCGGTAGCAGATGAGAAGCTGGTCAATGTTGCCAAGCTGGCGGGCAAGCTGTTTTGGCAGGCAGACAAGATCGTTCTTGCAGATGGGCACGACGTCGACCGAGTAGGTGAATTTGTAGTTGGAGGTGTTGCTTTGCAGATCGGTGGAGATGAGACGCTCGGAGGTCTTGTACGTGACTGGGGCGACAGCGTTGAGGAAGTCGACCATCTTCATAGCGTCGCTCTTGGACGAGTAGTAGAAATCGAGACCGTCGGGGCGTTCCTTGATGTTGATGGTGAAGGAGTGCGCCTTGTGCTTGAGAATGAGCTGTTCGAGGAAGTAGAACGTCTTCTTGTGGTCGACGCGCTGGCGGACCTGGACGATGGCCTTCCAGTTGTCGTTGGCCATGCGACGCTGGCACTGAGGGCACTGCAGGCTCTGCACGACAAACTCAATGACGAACGCGTGTCTGACGATGGCGCCGTTGAAGTCCTTCTCAATGACGACCTTGACCTTGATGCGCCTCGAGTGGGGCTCTGTCCAGATGAAACCGGCGTCCTGGACACGCACCTTGCCGAGGCCGCGGATTTTCTTGAGGCAGAGCGTGAGGAGCTCGCGCGATTCGAGCTCGGCGACCAGCCAGTTCTGGCCGTTGTGGTTGAGGTATCGCTCGCAGTTGCGGCACCAGTTGAGGATGCCATGCTTGGCAATGCCGTCGGTGATGTCGACCTCGTTGCGGATGCAATCGACGCACATGTTGGCGGGGTTTGGCGGGATGAGCGTGCCGCAGACCGCGCACAGACTAACAAAGCAAGCCAAAGAAAGAGAGAGAGAGAGAATGATAAAAAAACGACAGTGTTAGCAATCGCATAGTGCAATGATGAGTAGGGGAAAAGTCAAACGCAGCGCGGTTGGATTCTGAGCAAGCGAGACAGAGAGAGAGAGAGCGCTCGTTCACGCTTGCCCCACTCCAACGCACCCCCCCCACCAAAAGATAGCTGCTTTTTGTTGCTTAGAGGTTGACCAGCTCTCGCATGTGAATGTCACGACAGTCAGAGTGT